CAGGCTGATGGTCACTTGGGGCTTAATGCTGAGAGGTGCTGAGCAAAGGGCCAGGAGCCTCCAGGGAACGGGCTGGGAACACTGCATCCCAAAATTTAAACACCACCTCTGATCCCAAAGTGGGAAGATGCCAGATGAAGTCACAGGAAGATTGGGAAATCTCAGTTTAGATTTTTTTTTTTTCCAAATATCCTCTTCAAATATTTGTTGTTCACTGAGGCTCAGAAAATTCCATTCATTTCTCCATGCTGCTGCCCATTTAATGAGGTAGAGAAACATTTTATTACTCCCCTCTGATGAACACAAAAGCACCGAAACCCCAAGCTGAACAGTGAAACAAACAGTAAATTATTTCAATCCTCTTAATTCTCTGCTTTTTTTGGCCGATAATGCCGCAAATAATTGTAGCTTAGCAGCCACAGATTCAAGGGAGATTTCTTTTTAAACTTTGGAAATGTTTAAATTGAGTGAACTAACAAAAGAAATTTTTACCTAAACGGGGAGAAAATAAAAGGAGAGTTTTCCAAATATGACAGTGGCTATCAACTCATTTATTTCATGGGGTTTTTTTTGCAATGAGTCTGCAGGCTCAGTTAAAGGAGGGCAACTTCCACCACTCAGTCCAAACCCAGGCAATGCAAAATCTGATGAAACTCAGTAAACTGAAATAACCTTTTGCTCCAAACTCCTTCCCCAGAATTCTTGAAGAGTTGCCTGAGGTTGAGCTGGAATGCGGTTGGAAGTGTTTGAATTAAGAGCAGTTAGCCCAAAAGACAGCTTGGCTTCCCGCAGAGGTGTAAAGGATCAGAAAGGGATTGTGGAGGACAGTGCATTGCTGTTGTGAATTATGCAGTGAGCTGACACCACGCTGGAATACTCATCAAAGTTCCTCAGAGCTGCTCCCTTCCAGATGAGCAAACAGAGCAGCCCAGAGCTCTGAGGGGAACTGAAATAACATCTCCAAGTGCTGTAAAACACATTTGCTGTGTTTGACTTTGCCGTGCCAGGTAACAGCTCCACTAAACTCACCGGAATCATCTGCATGAGGATGACCCCGAAGGGTCACCTGAACCTCAGGGCAAGCTGCAGCCTCTGCAGCGATCATGTGTTTTCAGACATCCTAGGAGACCAGAAAGCATCGCTCTGAAATCCATGGATTTTCAAACACCTTCTGTTCTATAACACCGGCAAGGAAGGAGTCAGTGTCCAGACCCTGGAGGGCCTTTCCAGCCCCATGGAATGGGAAGAAGATCCCAGAGTTATGAGGGGCTTAACTGATGTGTAAGATCAGCATCTAGTTAATTTGTTCTGTAACTTGAATATGCGTCATTTTGTGCCTTCATAAATTTTTCAGGTACAGTTTTAATATTAATTTTGACTGGATGGGGAAGTGTCAACCCCCACGGGGTGCAATTAATAACATGTGCCAGATCAGGAGACCATAAATGTATGAAGGTGAGTTAATATGCATCGGATGCTTCTGTTTCCCATTATCAAGAACTGATTGACAATCTTTTAAAAACTGTTTTCATTATACTTTTTGAGGAGGAAAAAAAAGGAGATAACTCTGCTGGGAGCAGGAGCTGACTGCAGGGGCAGCTGTTACACTGGGATTTAAGTGGAGCTCTGACCCATGAGCAAGAATAACAAAAGTCTCATTGATTTCAATTAGAGGAGGCTCGGGTCTATTTACTGTAACTGAGGCGGTTCCCCGAAAAATAATTAATTCCTTGTCGTGTCTCACGTGTATTGATTTGGGTAATTACAATGAAACTGGAGGCGAGGGTGTGTGAGGGGGGAAGGAAATGCACTTGATTTACGTTTAATTTGATGCACAAGCTGTCAAGGACACAGAAATTGAGACACAATGACCATGCCCGTCCTCCGTGGGCTGCTCTGAGCTCAGATGACAACGTGGAGAATCCAAAATCACTCCCTGCTCTGACCCACTGCAGTGTAAAGAGCTGTCTCTCTGCAGAGCCTCCACAGCTGGCAGAGGAGATGCCCAAGGGGAAGAAGATAAAGACAGGACAAGCTTAATGTGTATCAGTGACTAAGAGGGGGAGACAAAGAAGTAGAATGGGAGAGAAAGAAAATACAAGTTGTTGCTGATAATAAAGCTGCCAGTAGATAATGTAGTGAAAAATAAGGAGCGAGAGAAAAGAAAATACATACAGCCTTGCTGGGTAATGATGCTGTGAGGAGAAAGCAGCAGGAGAGACCTGAACTTTGTTTGCCACATGATTTCACTAGAATGTCAAGACAGAGAATTTTGACTTCTTAGCTAGGCGATAGTCTCCTTTGCCAAACGTGTTTGTGGCAGTGGCTGGCCCGGTTCCACATACAGAGATTTGATTATAACACTCAATTTCTAGTTTCTGCAGCAGCAGAGATTAGTTTTTCATAAAGATCTCATCATTTACACAGAAAAAGTACAACCTTAGGGGCTCACTAAAGCCAGTGCCTGCCCTGGCTTCGGCAGGGCCACCAGAAGCTGAATTACTGTTTCCAACCTTTTGCCTACAAACACCAGTTCAAGAAGTTTCCAGCTCTTATAGGAGGAAAAAAAAACCTTTTTGCTATACAACAGCCCTGCCAATGAAAGCTGCAAAACAGTCTCACATCCAAACATTGAAAAGAAATGACATATATGAGGGAGAGGCAGAGTTGAAGGGTGTAAATCAGTCCCGAGTTGAGCACTTTCATCTCAACACACGGTATTTTAAACAAACAAACAAAAAAAAAAAACCAACACCAAAACCTCTGCCTCCAGCACAGGGAACTAATTTGCATCCAGTTTGTGCAGTACCTAAAAACTGTTGTGTAAAATGTCAGCACTCCAAGGCAAGTTTTCTTCTGGTGGCCTCCGCAGAGCACAAGACAGAAAGCTGCAAACTCCCACTCCGAGAGAGGCCAACAACACCCCAATGGTTGTGGCAGCTCTGCTGGCAGCACTCTGTGACACAACGTTCTCCCTGGCTGGGGAAGAGCTCTGTGCACAGAGTCAGAACACAGCAAACTGTGAGTCAGGAATAAATAACCTCATGGCAGGCAGTGACTGATGATGGCAAATCCTGTCTCCAGCGGAATTATTGGGAAGAATACTGAGAATTCTTTCCCTCTTAATATATTAAGCTCTTTGTTTGGGGCTGAGTTGATACTGCCAGAAAAACCCTTTTAACACAGCTGGCATAAATTTTGGTGGGTGTTTGAAGCAGGAGAGACTGGGCTGTTAAAAAAGCAGCCCCCGGGAAGGCTGCTGCCTGCACAAAATACATCAGCTCTCCTCAGCTGGGAAATCATTTGATCTATTTTATATCACAGGCCCTGTCACTAAGGAAGCAAATATGGATATGAAATACGGACACGGAGCAAAACATAAAAAGAGACTTAATAAAATGAGTAATTATGTTTTCCCTAAATCCTCTCATGCAAGCAAGAGGCACACAGCACCATAAATCCGGCCAAGTGTGTGGGGAAGGAACAAAAGCCCTGCAGCCAGGTCCTGGGAGGCACATTTACTGCAGAGGGTGTCTCAGCAGGGATGGAGAGTGATGATCACTGCAGTGCTTTCACTGGTGGCCAGATCCAGGGGAAAACAGGGATCTGGAGCTGCTCTGTGCTATGACCTAACACTTGGCACGTGCACAAGCTGATGGAAGAGTCTTACACTACCAGTCCAGCACAGTCTTTCAAAACATAACTCAAGTCCTCAGTGACAAACTGTCAGTGCTCTGCGCTACTCCTTAGTGCACCAGTAAATTAAAAAGAACCAAAAAAAACCCAAGAATAAAAGAAAGGACGCAAAGAGAAGTGATCAAGCGCTCAAGTATTCAGGACAAGCCAGTGTTAGAAGCACTTGCAGATTATTCTTTGGCATTTTGAATCCCAGTATTTCAATTCCAGTTCGCATGCCTGAGAAGCTCATGATCCTACAGCACCAAATATAAAACATAATATTATGTATAGTCTTTACACCCAGATGCCCTCAACATAAAAAAAGTTCCACCTTATTCATGAACGTGATTTTAAAAAAGATGAGTAGGAAACTGGAAGTGCAAACATTTTTATTTCTCCATACTCCTGCAAACTTCTGGCTATTCTGACCTCAGCCTAATTTATTCTCTGGCTATTTCACAGGAACGACATGACAACACTGATTAATTCACACCCAGTGCTAGAATTCCAGCTGTAACACAAGCACGAAAACATTAGGACTGTGGACACAGAGAAGAAATGAAAAGTGGAGCTGAGGACACACGTCTGAGCGAGAGCAGAAGAAATGAAAGCAGACGTGACACGATGGGCTGTGAAGGATTGCACTTGGCTATGAACTCTGCTGCAAACAAGTCTCCCTCTGCAGGGAAGTCTGATCACACAGTTCCCTAGGTCTCTCTACAGCAAAATCAGGGACAGGTGGAGGGCTCTGAACCCGCTCCACTGAAGTCAAGGGCAGAACTGCCACCAGCTTCAGAGAAGATCAGAACTTGTATTTCAGAATGTCACGTGTAGATGCAACACACAAAACCAAAGGCAGGACACCCAGCAAGCAATGTAGAATACTAAGCACCGTTATCACGAAAAAGCTCGTTGTTTTGCACAAAAATACACCCTGATCAACGACCACCAGTACCTGCGGCGAGCATGCTAAGGAGATATCTCTTTTTCTTTTCACATGTAAACTGTGTTTTGTTTCCGTGCCGCTGGGGCATAGAGGAGGGAAGGGCACACTCTGCTGGCCAGGAGCACCTCTTGCACCCAAGGCTTTTTAGCAACACGAGTGCTGAAAAAATAATCCCCGTTCCAGACATCTGCAGCTGGAGTGGTGCTCCACACCAGGCTGCCACTTGACTTTTCTCACCCTGAACATTTAGTGACGATGGCTTTGAGGCTGAGAACGGATCCTCTCATGTTTAAACATCAGCCTACCTGCTGCAAGAACACTTTTCCTTCCTGAAGGACACTTTTAGCAGTGTAACATATGTTCAAAAACTCTTTACCTTAGGCTTCTCATCCAGTATTTGCTGACGGATCTCCTTGTGTTTCTCTACAAGTTTCTCCTGCCTTTTACTCTGAGCATCTTCTAGCTGTAGGAAAATAGCAGAGAGCTTGTCTCAGAGACTGCACATCCTCGCTTTCCCACCTCTTTCCCAGCAAACTTGTCATCCATTAAAATTAGAAAGTTATCATCAAAACTATCAATAATTCCAATATTAAATTACACAACGTATCTCAGATTTCGCCCGTGGGATTTTAGAATCACAAATGTCTAAAGGACTTAACTGTTGACTCCTAATGCTATCAAAAGCACGATGCAGTTTTAAAAATTGTATTATTTTGATTTAGCTTTTCTTATTCAAGCTGTGAGAGATGGACCCTGCTCCCAGAAGGAGGGGATTTGCATCCTGGAGTCCTAAATGAACACGCTGATCAATTCTGGGCCCCGTGTAATAAAGCACTCAGACATGGAATTAACTCCAACAGGAATTAAACGTGCTCAGTTTGCTAATTCTTCAGCTTGCCTCCTAAATCAAGGCCTTCCTGAGAGAAATGAACTTTTGAACTGAGCTGTGTGTGCACTGAAATTAAGAGAAAATTCAAGAGCTGAGTATGTTTCACGGTGGTTTCACACATCAAAACGCTGCATGCACACTTTCAGCCCAGTGTAAACCACCCCCAGCTTCAGAAAAGCTCAAGGCTGACACCTGTAATGAAATGCTCTGACTTGTGTTTACAGAGCTCACAGAAAGCTTTTCACATTTCAGCAACTGTACAAATCCAATTAAAGGTAAAATATACTCAGCAATTAAATGTTCATTGACTTTCAGAGTTCCTTATACAATCTTTGCATTTAAAGAGAGGGCAACCGATTAAAAAAATTATGTTTTCCATGAGTACACAAAGGATATTCCAAGATGAAATTGCATTAAAATCTGCCTCTCTCAGCACCATGCCTCAAACACTGACTAATAATTAATGAAGAACTGTCTGAAATTCCAGTTCTCCTTTAACCGGAACGGGAAGAAAAGTCTACGCTGCACCTGTAAAACATCAGTAGCTGCAGAAGATTGAAATCTGCAGTTTAATATCACCCAAAAGATGAAAGCTGACATTTTATCCCCACGAACGGAAAACAAACACATGGCCTGCCATACCCTCTTTATGTACTGCACCACCTCCTGGATGTAGGATCGGATCATTTCCGTCTTCTCTCTGTGGGGGGGGAGCAATCAACAAGTGACTGCGGTCAGTAACATCACACCAATATTTGAATCCCCTCAACTCTCTGTGATCTAATTAGGGCCATGTTTTGAGCGTAGGGACCTGAGTAATTAGCTTTTGTGTGCTTCCTGCAGGTGCCCTTTACTGCAGGAAGGGCTCAGACTTCCTCCGTGACCTGCAGGACAAGCCCCCGCTCTTCCCCGACAGGCTTTTCCCACAGGATGAGCCATGTTTCTTCAGTGGTGGTGGTGTTCCCAATCAGCCCGGCAGCACACACAGCCGTCAGCAGACACACAGTGCCACGCTGTGGCACTTCATGGAGCAGAGGAACAGCCTCTGCCAGAGCAGAGACCACTGCTGGCAGCCAGGGATGAGGATCCCACGGAGGGCAGGGCACACGGAACTTCGGGCCCCACATAAACTCGCAGGAAATACTTTAAGTAATTTTGTGAGACCGTTATTCAAAAACCACCAGTCAAAGGCTGAAGGTAAGACATAAAAGCATACAAAATAACAATTTGTGGGTACTTCAGCTGTCCAGTTTCAGGACAGAGCTGTAAAACCTAATAAGGCCTCAGTCAAGACCAGCGAATTGCTGTTCAGGTGGCACTAAAATGGGCTGGGTTTAGGCAGTTACACCAGCCCTGGCTGGACGAAGGAAAATTCAGTAAGAACAGTTAATACAATTTATCATCTCTGTGCAAAATCCTTTCCCAAAGGTCAGTGAAAAGCTTTAGGTAAACAACAGCTGAGCCAGAGTAACTGGAATGGGATTCACCAGGGGGCTTGCTACTCCCTGCCCCACTGCCGGCATGAGGACAAGCTGTGTCCCAGGCTGAGGACATCGTTCCCATCTCACCTTTCCCGAGGGCTCCTTAAAAAGCCCTTTGGGAAGAGTGAGAAAAAAAAAAAGAAAGGAAAACAAAAAAGAATTGCTACTTGTCTGCTCCCGAGCCTTTCTCACCGGTGTCCCATTAACCTCTCAGCAAATCATTTCCTGCTGCAATTGATTTTTTACTGCTGTTAACATTTCCGTAATGCCCAAACACCTTTTTCTAATACGAAATGCAGGCCTCCTGACCAGCTCTAACCATATTAAGTATTTCTCCCTCTTTTCCCCAATCAATCATTCTCCTTTGGATATATTTTTTTCCCCTAGGATGTTTATTAAAATCCTATAGCTCTGATTCTGAAATTATCTGAAGCCCTTCACCTCCTTTCAGTGTTACCAAATGCACAGATTCTCTGCTGAGAGGCTCCAAAACCTGGGGAAACCTTTTTACCTGCAGAAAACCAAACACAGCTGTGCCTTTGTTACACAGTAAAACCCAAACAGTCCGGATTTTCCTTTTTTCGTTTTGTTTGTTCCTCTTGTATTTTAACCTGCCCTTAAAGGTTACTCAAGTAAAAGTCCAGTCCTTTCTCTGATTTTCCCATTGTGAAAACTCTGGCCTCCTCATAACCTACAAGGTTACGGATCCAGGGATATACTTACTCTTCCATTTGATTTTTATCCTTGGACTTTGCCTCTGTGATCTTCTCCTGCCTCTTTTTGTCCATTTTTTTCTTCAGCTCTTTCTTTTCTCTGAAGCATAAAAAAACAAAGGCAAGTTCAAGAAGGGATCTAAACAAACCCCCACGCAGCAGCAATCAGTGGGAAGGGGAACAGCGCTCACTTTTCACAGGTTTCCTTCAGTTTCTTCAGTTGGTTGTTCTGACACTCCTCTGCTACATCTGTCAGCTTCTGAATAAGCTAAAAAAAAAAAAAAAAAAAAAAAATGCCAAGAAATAAAAATGTGTATTTTCAGCTAAATACTACACAGGCATCCAGGTTTCCTCAAAAGTCTGCAGCAGAGAGTGTTACGCCATTCCCAGACTAATTCCCGGCGATCCAAAGCCAGTCAACGTTCTTATCAGTGTAAACACGTTATTAACTGGTGGAGTTCAGCCAGGCTGGTGCAGGCCCGACCTCCACAGAGCCCACTGCTTCTCTGTGCAATCCAGGTGCTTTGGTTTCCCCACACTAAGATGTAAAACCAAACCCCGTTTTGCAGATTTTACCTCTGCCAGGAATCGAAATGCAGTGAATAAAGTGGGAAATGGGACCAATTTGGTTTAATCACCACCCCCCCCACCCCCCCCCACCAGTTTAAGTCTGATTCTGTAAAATAACCCTCCTGGGGTTATGAGCCAGGAACCTGTAATAATAATAGGTGGTCAGATCCAGCTTTTCATTCCTGAGATAAAAGAATAAAGGTACTGACAATAGGTTCAACTCTAAAAGGAAGACAGCAGAGAGAATCTCTCAGCTGCAAGGCAAATTTTAATTGGAATATTAACTCCTGCACAGTTCAGAGGGAAAACTGGCTGAGAGTTCCGTGCTAAAATATGAATTTAGTCTGACGCTGCCTGCCTGGATAGTGCCAAAAATGTAACTTCGCTTTTGAGAAAGGCCATTTCCCATTTTGGAAAGAGAAATGAGTTACCTTACAATATAAGCCCAACTACGTGGGTCCAAAATGGTGAATTTTTACAAAAACTATAACCTCTGAGCTGCAGCCCCCAGCTGTTACTTGAGTTTGTGCAAAGGCCTTGCTTGAGCCACATCCACGCACTTCGCTCCTCTGACCTGCTCGTTTCGGATGTCAGGGCAGAGCAGACAAATCCCTTCAGCCAACAGTACTGAGGCAAAACATCAGGTAATCGAAAAAACTGTGAGAGAAGATTGTCTGGAGTTGAGAAACAGTTTGCACTCCCATAACATCCCTCAAAAATATTCCCTTCTGCCTAAGAATATCCATTAGCATCAGCTGCCATCTGCCCAAGGCTCTCTATGTCAGCTCAGAGGGCCTATCATCCTGCTGTAGCTGCCAGCCAAACTCCAGCTGTAAAAACACAAGCTGACTTGGACTGATGGACACAAAATATTTCTTCACCATACACAGATTATGTCCTGCATCCCCTCAGAGCATTCATCTGCAACGGGAACACTCCTTGGCACGACTCTCTGTCCTGGGGAACGCTTGAATCTCTTCTCGTTTATTTATTTTCACGGCACTTCAATTTATTTTCCAGCTAATCCTGCCTCGCTGCGTGTTGTACAAAACCCAGGATCACCGAGAGTTATGTAACCAGAGGCAGTAACAACCCTGCTGCCTCCCTGCCTTCCGTGCAAAGCCTTGCAAGCTGCTGCAGGTGTTGGTGACAGAGCGACCCGAGGAAGCTCCAATCTCCCTCCCTCGCGCTGCCCTCGCCGCTCAGCCCCGGCTGGCTGAAGGAAAGCAGAGCCCCAACAAACGTACCAGCTTAATGTGCTCCCGTTTCTGGTACTTCTCACTGTAATACTGCTCCTGGCGCAGGTTCAGCAGCTGCTGCTGTTGCTTCTCCTTCAGCTCCACGAGCTTCTGGGTCATTTCGGAGTCCAGGGCGGCCAATTCCTGCTCAATAGTTGAGCTGTGGTCCGGGCTGCCCGTCTCAGACCTGCAAAGGCACACACAGCCAACCCCCTGAGGTCTCAGTCACAAGGCATGGACCCTCTGTCCCATACTTACACCTCGTTTTTAAGGCTGATGTTTATAAATATACCATTAATAATTTCCTCAGTACCACAAGATAAGTGATTTTAGCCCTAGCAAGTCCAATAATTTAATCCTTTAGGGAAAACATAGTATTAGCAGTTTATTAACAGGATGGCTACTGCTTTTAAACCTCATTTTACTGACCCACCACGGTGCTGTCAACCAGACTTAGTATAAATTAGCTACATTGCCAAGATTTCCCATAAACAGATGCTCATGGAACTTGTTTATCCACGTCCAGTCACGTAACCTGAACTTCAAAGCTGCACAGCCTTCAGCTGAAACGGTGAATGCAAAGTATTTTGGAAACTAAGTCGTCCTTGCCTGCACTCAGAGCAATAAATTTAAAAGCCCAGCTCTACATCTGCATTTATAAAACGCTTAAAATGGCAGGAAGGTCCCTTTATTTGGTGTTTTGTCCCCGCTTCAGGAAATGCCGTGCATGGCATACGCAGAGGAAAGGGGCTCTGTGGATTTGCTGTCTTAGGAAGGAAAGGGAACACCCCAGTGGGGAGCAAACCTCAGACGGGCAACACACAGGAGCCAAGGGAAAACACACGAAGGAAGCTCAAAAGCAACACTAAGGAACAGTTTGGGTACATTTTGTTCTTCCTGAAGGCAGAAGGAAGGGGAGATGTAACGGTGAAAGAAGGCGTGAGGACGGTAAACTGCTCAAGAGAAAAACAAGCAGCAAAACCAGCGTCACTCTCAGGCAAAAGCACCAAACCAAACCCGAGAAAAATACATCAAAAAATAAGATTATGCCGTGTGCCTGCTCTGCTGCTGTGTTTGCTGCCGTGCTCAGGTGTTACATCAGTTGCCTGGGAAACGTCAGAACAGCGCAGGAGATGGACAGAACAACAAAACCTTGAACACAGGGGGCTGACACCGGGAGAAAAATGAGTTTGCTGCTCAGAAATGTGCAGGGATTACAGTGCAGAGAACTTGCCACACCGGCTGCCTCTCTCCTCTCTGCCAGGATCGAGTGTGCAGCTGCTGTCAATTAGAGGGGCTCCAACTGAAATAATGGGAATCTGCTTCCAGCGGCCCGAGGACACAAACCCCAAGGTAGCCTCCTTTTATTTCTTGTGTTTTCATTGTATTTGAATATTCTGCTAAGAGGTTAAGTGGTGTCAGTGTGATAGGTGAGGGGAATTTAAATATTCTAGAGCCAGAAGACAGCATTAATGAATATTACAATCAGTGTATTATGCCATTACACATTTTAAAGCTGACACTCCTCTGGTGTGGTTGGGAGAAAGAATTAAGGCCTATTTCTAAACCCTGGCTCAAATACTGCTTTTTTACAAGAGATGATCACTAAAGGGACCTCAGAACAACACCAACAAAACACTTGTGCGTGTGGATAAATAAATACTTCAGACTTCCTGCAGACATTGAGTTTACCGAATCCTGGCTCAATTTTAGACAAGGGCATGAAGCACAGATTGCTTGTGAGCAGAGACAACGCGTTTTTATGGCTGTCTGATACAGGAACTCCTGATGAACTCATGATTTATACTTTGCAGTTACAGGCAAATACCTTCGGTAATAATTTAAAGTGATAAAAATCTCCTTTCTCCTTGGGGTGCAGGATTCCATGAGAAGGCTGCCGCTTGAGATAATATGGACCTGCAGGTTTGAAAACCCCTACAAATGCACTCCTGCCTTTTTAAAATGTAACCTCTGGTTTTTTAACCTTCAGACTTCTCCCTACCTGCCCATAAAACTTCACGTCTCTGAAACCCCCATGACAGCTCCAGGGACTAGAACTGCAGGGTTTTACTGCCTGATACCATGAATGATTTATGGTCAGATCGTAACACAATAAATTAAAAAAAAAAACAAACAACAAAATCCTTTTTTGCTCAGGGATAAACGAGTCATTTTACTTATTCAGTTTGATTTTCTGCTTAAATGTGAACTGAATACGGTAGAGAAAGGAGAAACATGATGTTGTCTTGCCTGCCACACATTTTGGTGATGGAAAATGCAGCAGATAAAACATCCCTGTGCCTGCAGTTGACAACTAAGTCATTAAGGGAGTCTATTAAACTCCAGTATAGAACCTGGAAGCCCGAGAACTGGCAACAGTTAAGGCCAGCTGAACATAGATATATTATGAGTGTCAAGCTCTTATTAAGCCCAATGACATTCTGTCATCAGTGGAGCTTAAATGAATAAGCTCCTGCCTAGGGACAAGTTATGGCCTGAATCCCAGTCACTTACATTTAGAGGGACTATCAACAAGCTTGGCAGCCAGACCACGCTTGCAGCTTTTTTCTCTGATGCTCTCCTACCAGAAAGTATCAGTAATTTTTTTTTTTTATTCAACGTCTTCATATTTCAGAACTGCAGCTATATCAGCTTCCTGTAAAAGTTAAAGGACTTTTCTGTGCTTATCTAATTACTACAAAAAATAAATGATGTTGAAACAAGAACGATGCACCAATGGGAGAAACAAAAATTCAATTGCAAGAGTAGCAGACACTGATTGGATCTATGTGTGTGCATGTTTTGCCAGGAGTTAAGAACTGAAATCTATTAATACATAGCTCCTTATCACAGAACAAGGCAATAATTGTGTGAAGATTAGTAAGTCACTGCAGTCTTTGCATTTCAAACTGATAATGGTAAATACAACTCTCATTTTTTATTATTACCTAAACCAAAACTATAAAAATCCTATCAAACACACAAAGGCACAGGTTGATGCAAGGCTTGGAAAAAGAGAGAGCACAGAAGGAGTGTGCATGCAGAAGCAAAGCCAAGCAGTCTTTAGGAGATTCCCCAAGTGTTCTGGATCAATCATGATTTAAACAGCAGTCAGATCTTAATTTCTACATCTGATGCCCTCTTGCTCTATCATGAGTTTTTTCCAAGGCTGTCATCCCCATTAACCAGCAATCCTGCTGCTTTCGATTTTTTCTGTGCTCTTGTGTCACCTCCATTTACTGTCTACTGGAAAAGAAGACTCGAGTACAGACCCCTAATACCAAGATGAGGGAAGCTGTTTGTCATACCTTTTCTTGCTGTCTCTTTTTGCTGTTTTCTCTAAAACCGCTCTTCTCCTCAGGTAGTCATTTTGGATTTCGTTGTACTTTGCAGTGTGCTCTTTGATGAGGTCGGTGGTTTTCTTGTGGTGCCTCTTCACAAGGTCCTTCATTTCCTTGTAGTGCTTCTTCTGGAGCTTAACAAAAGCCTTCTGCTGTTTCAGCTCCTCAATAGTCTGTGCTTCCACTTCTACAACGACAGCAACAAAAGCCACTTCAATTTCCTAACAATGCCCGATTTCAATCACTGAAGCCAGGAATGAAACAAAGCTTGTCCACTGTGGCTAAATGAACTGAGAGCATAAACTAACGGAGGAGATTTAGCTGGAAATAAGGTAACTGCACTGAAAACACTGTGGTAAATTTAATTGATACGTGCGAGAAGAGAGATGAAAATTTAGAACACCAAGAAGCGTAGCGAAATAAAATCCTTCTGCTTTCTTTCCTCAACCCTTTTTCAGATGACAGAGATTTTCATCAGCCCAACATAAAGTCGTGATCTTACACAGGATATGACCACAGATCCTTTGTACCTGCTGTCCCAAGACTTCAAGTCTCCCTATGAACTACAAAATCAACTGATTTATGGGCTTTGCAATCTAAACTAACTCCAAGCTGGAGGACACGACTCCCAGTTGAACCATAGGGCCCCACATAACTGGCAGGCCAGTTTGCTCAATGAAATGGTAATTTTCAGCTTTGTAGGAGCACTGGGAACACTGCAAGGCTAATGAAGATAAAATGGTTTCATTCCTACTCACTGTAGTCAGGAAAAATTTAGCTTCTGTTCTCAGAGTAATGCTGGTCTTTTGTCTGCATTAGATGGTAACTTGGTGCTTGTGAAACTACAACAATGGGATATTTTAAAAAAATTCCCTGCTGGCACCCAGTCTCATGAAATGTGCTTGAACATTTAATAATTTGCAATCTGAGGAAGAAAACACGGCATGGACATTTTCTAGGAGTTACTGCAGTCCCTACTGCCCAAAGGAATGCCTAAGCCAGGGGGCCTATTCCCTAAAAACCATGTTTTCTTGACAAAAAAAGCATGTCATTCATGCAGTGTGACCTGTGTGCTTATTACCTGTGAGGACACTCTGGATAAGATCTTCTGTCTTTGCAGGCGCTTTCACCGAACCTGGAGGTAAAAAAAAAAAAGAGATGAGTGATTCTAATTCTTGTACAACAACAGCCATTATTGTGCTCCTTGACTGGGTGTCACAACGTGGCAGGTGACACAGGACACACATACACACTGACATGGGCATTTATTAACCATTGGAGAAAACACATCCTGAGCTGGAAAACAACAGAACCCCTGTGAAGCCACACGAAAAGGTGACCTTCCAAAAACCCAGCTGAGCTCTGCTGGTTTATTTATAAGGGGGATGCTGCTGAACTGACAGTACGAGTGCCCTGCATTAGGAGGTCAGTGCAAAACCTCTGGGCACAGGAAGGATCCAGCTCCTTGGAAGTCAGTCAGGCCAAGCCCGTGGAGACTGCAGGCATAGCATTACAAACACTGTGGTTTGACAAGCATTTCTTGTAGGAGGTTTGTCCACAGGAAACCCAGGACTGGTTTTGTGTGTGTGCAGCAAGATGTAATTACGTGCATAAATTAGGCAGATTTGTAAAAACAATCCAAGAGATTCCTGCACTTGCAACAACAACGACAACAACACAACCCCAGCACGTTTTCTTGCTTGTAAAGAACTTCAGTTTCACCACAGAAGCAACCTTTAGGTAGAAGATGTTTGTGTATCTGAAGAAGACCAGCCCTAACAGCACAGAAAAGTGGTGGCAAAGTTTCTACCTATCTTATCCGACCAAACCAAACACACACAACCCCCACCTTTGTTCTTCAAACACAAAGCCCTCGTAAAATTGTTCTTTTTTTACCTGGTGCTGGCTGGCTGTGGACAACCTGAGTTGCTGGTTTCGGTGTAAGAGAGGCTGTGTAATTTACTCCATTCTCTGCTGGTGTTGGCCTTGGTTCACTGTTGGCTTCAGACGGTGCATCTCCGTGGTCAATCTGAAAATACACGATTTACATTATTCTCCCCAACCAACAGACTTCATTTATTTGCAGGTCTACTTTTTAAAATGTAAAATTCTGTAAATGTTACACCCAAAAGAAAACAACAAAAAAAGATATCCTTAAGAGCCACGGTAACCCAGGTGGTTCGTTTCTGCAGGGTGAATTTCAAGAAGAAATAGAGCATGTTTTATTCTGAAAAAGTGTTTTAAGTGGATATAACTCATCAGGGGCGCTGTTCAGTACAGTAGACATGAGCTGCACCAGATGTGAAACCCCTATTTTATTGAAAGGCACTGTTCTCTGCCATAAAATCTTCCTAGAAATAATGTGGGTGCTGGCAGGAAAACGCTGCTCAAATCCCTGCTGTGAACAAAATTTTGTACACAAAATTACTTTTAAATTTCATAGCTAGACACAGGACTGCCATTAATCACCATTCTTCCAGAACAGAGGCATACTTCTGATTCCCAAGATCCCACATTCTTGTAATTGCACTCCAAGGATAATATGTAAACAGTACCTCCATCCTGCTGCACGAATGCATCTGCGGTATCCAAATATTTAAGCATTTTCCACGATCTTTCCCTTCCCTCCAGTCTCCTAAAGACTCAGGCTTTCAGCACTACACACTGATCATCTCACAGTTGCCCTTGTGACCACAAGGTTTCAAGCAGGCCCCCAGCACTGAGCAGACAGAAGGTCATTCAAAGCAATTTTGATTTGGAAATGGCCAGGCCCTGCTTCCCGCTGTCCCTGCGAGGGGCCAGTTGCCACGGTGTCCTCAGGGCACTTTTGGATTTGTTCCCTCAGCTGCTCTCACCTCACTCTTTGATGGTGATCACGCTACATGCCGGGGCAGGACACCACAGTTGTTGTTTTTCCCCCCCCTGTGATCACTCCACGCTTTGCAAAAATATCAGCCTGCACTGTATTAACCGAGGCAAAATGCATTTCAGCCTCACTGCTCCTGCTGCTGGTTCCCTTCAGCCTGGCCCTGACAGCACGCTGCACCACTGCAAAATAATGTCTGTCTCAAACAGCTGACTTCCACCAAAATTACAGCAGAGACAACTGATACAACTGAAATTCTGTGCCAACGACTTCATTTATATCAAGCAGGATAAACTGCAGTAAAATATGGAGAAAATGATCTAGCCAACATTTAAGACAGAGGAAGTGTGACTGGCAAAACCTGTAGCTGTGACAAACATGGTTATCCCCCTTAAATCTCCTTAAAATACTCCTCACAGGCTGCAGTTCATTAGTTTAATAAAAACAATACTTAGATCATCGACATTTAATACAAATAAAGCTGGAATTCCTGCCCTCTGGCAGGTCTGCGCTCCAACAGTCACTGCCTGGGAAAGTGGGTATTATCCTGAGACTAGGTTTGTGTGTGCTGGAATTCCTGCCTTCTGGCAGGTCTGTGCTCCAACAGTCACTGCCTGGGAAAGTGGGTATTATCCTGAGACTAGGTCTGTGTGTGCTGCAAAATGCTGCATCACAGCTTGCTGAGAAACTATTGATGCAGCTTGTCAGTTTGGGACATGAAACATCTGTTTTCAGAAACCAAAGCAGAAATGTGAGACACGATCTCAGAGTGAATAAAGAGTAATCTTCACTACATCAAGCAGTCTAATCTCATTAAAAATCTCTTCTCATCATTCACCACGCAGAACACCAAAGTAAACATGATTTTTCCTTGGTGGAGAATGTTTCAGGTTCTTTTTAAAATGTGATGTAACCCAGGCCTTTTTAATTTATACCTCCAATATTCCCAGAAGCTGTTTCCATTCCACACGTTGCCACGTCCTTTGCAATAGAGTGTATTTACAGAGCAGGAAGAGACATACCCCATATCTGTAAAGGGCAGTAGGCAGGGGAACACAAAACTACCTTTATGCTCTTGAAGATTGGCAAAATATTCAGATAAATACAGGTAAAGGTGCAAACCCCACAGCTATTAACATGCAAAATACCACAGGTATTAACATGCTGCCATTCTCCAAGAACAGCTGCTCCAAGGCCAGCCTGGAAAGCAAGAACTGACCAGAAGGGTAAAGGAAGGATTCCTGTTACACTGAATGCTGGGAAATTTGCAAAGAAAGAGAGAAGAGATGCTGGAACTTCTGTGAGTTCTTCAGCATTCTTTGTTTATGTAATTACACTGACTATCAACAGGCAGTGTCATGTGAAGCCTAAAGAAAGGCTGATTTACCAGTTCAAAACAATTCACTCTTAGGTAGCTTGACTGCTGCTCTGCAAGAAGCCTGAGTGACTTCCCTGAGAGCTTGAGTTTAAAGTTCTAGATAGCAAATCAAAACAAAGCCCTTGGTTTTCCCATCTCAGATAAATAAATGTGTGTGAGGGGAAGCAGAGAGGTGTGGGGAGGTGGAACCCGTGCTAGGAGACAGCACAGCTTTGCACACCACCACTTACAGTGTGTAAATTTGAAAATGGGCATTGGAAAAGTGAATCCAGGTGCACTTATGGGTACTTTTCTGGCAAGCACACTTGGGTTTATTCAGCTATGTTGCCAGGGAATGCTCCTGCAATTATTAATCAGTGTGCTCGTCATGGGCCAGCGTAAGTGAAGAAAACAGTCAGCCCAGGTGAAGAAACATCACAAAAAATGGTGAGGTAATTTCAAGATTTCCAAGCACAGAGCGGCTGCACATCTTACCCAGAACGTGCCTCTATAAACAGAAGGTAACAGTGGTGATTTCAGGTTGCCACTTAAAGCAGCACTTTTGTACCTGTCCCTTGACACTGCAGCCAACTCGGCCACTCCCCATTTTTAGCAAATGCCACAATCACTACAGTTATCTTTTACAGCCTATTTCTGTGCTACCCCCAAACAGGCTCCCTGACACACAGAGCACCACAAGTCATCTTTCCTTCTTCCTATTTGCTGTAGGAGATACTTGATGTCAGAATGTGTCTAACTAACAAATAAGCCTGTACACACCAGGAAAATCAGTAGCTTTTCCAAAAGTAAAAATGACCTCTAAGGTATTGAAAGGATTATGTTAAAAAAAAAACCACCTTTGCTATTAATATAGAATCTCATGTGTAGAGTGTCCTAGATAAATGTCTAAGATGCTGTTGAGCATTTCACAGTGTCCTCATTCAGCAGAACTTGTGATACTGCACAAAGAGTGAATTGTTGGCCACTGAATTGTAATGACTTTCACTCATCTGGTCTGCTCTGGGAATGTATTCTTGGTTACAAAATCTAGTTCAGTGAGGTTCTGTGCATCTGAGAATTGAAGAAGACACGCACCAGAGCTGAGGGCAGTTTAGGATTATAAAGCTATAGAGGCCTGCACCGAGGGCCTTTTGATTCACACAGTGAACATCTGACACGGGCAACGTTTGAAAGGCAAAGCTGATATTTTCAAACACCAGAAGATGCTCCAGTGACAATGTCTGGGACAGAGAGAACGTCTGAACGTGTACAGAGTTCCTCAGATGCAAAGCTGAACTGTCAGGATTCTCAGATATGCTCAGAGTAACATCTATGCCCAACACCTCCAATTACACACAAAAACAGCTTTACAGGTCGGTCTGCAGTAGCCACATCATCCAAACAGATACCTAACAACAGGAATTGTGGCTCCCACAGCTTTCAGCTGAGCTACAACAGGCCTGAACATTTATTGACCCTATGGTCTCCTCCTCCCTCTTCATCACTCTTTCTAACATCTGAGAAGGGTTGAATCAGTTGAACTCCAGAGGCCCCTTCCCACCCAAATAACTATCATTATCCTGTGTCTCTTTAGGACACATTTGCTCACCAAGCATATATAGAGAGATGATAATCTGAGATACACTAATGACTCTCAGTAGAATAAGCTCTCCAGAATCAGTCTGAAATTCTGTACAATTTGTAGTATTTTCAGGAAAGACTACTGACCCAGAGTTGTCTATTCTGTAAAGGGAACCAGCATCACGTGGCAAAACATGCAGTGACTTACAAAGATTTCACTTACTACACAACAGAGTTGCACAGCATATGCATATAACACAGATTTTCATTGTCTTTACCTCTGAACAACAACTTTCCTCAGTGCACAGCACGCTGCCTTCAGTGAAACCACACACAGTGCAAAGCTCCTTGGCTCTGGGTGAGATCTTTACAGGTGTTCACATAATCAACACATACAGCTCCCAGGGATTTTCAATATTTGCCTTTCTAAGCAAAATAGGTCCTTATAAACACTGCAGCATAATTTTCAGAGGCTCAGAAAGCTCCCTTACCTCTTTCTTTACCTCCTCCTCATCTTCCAGGGTCAGCGCAGCCAGTTGCTTGGCTCTCTGCTCCATCAAGTTCACGTATCTGATTGGATTGGATAAGGCCTCAATCACATCTAGAAACAAGGCAAACACTTGAGTTTCAAAGCCCTCTATGGTTCCAGTGCTTCTCAGGTTTTAAGGAAGAGGAATATTTTCCACGCAAGTCTGCTGCTGATAGTTGCTCCTGGGACCCAGAAAGAGCAGTGGAGGGAAGGAGACCACCATGTACAAACACCGACCCTCTTCCATTTTGTGCTTGGGTCTCATGGATGTGCATTTTATTGTACACTGTGTTTTTATTATCCATTTTTGAAGCTGACAGCATCAGCCAGTTAGGACCCTGCTTCCCACGGGGCACAGAGAGGCAGAAAGTTCTGTTGTTTAAAAAAGTTGAAATAGCTGCACAGAACACTGTTTCTCACCGGAGATGGTCTTTCACAGTATGGCAGTTAAACCTATCCTTGTTTAGAGCCAATGCCAAAATAGAATTCTCTACCTTAAGCATGGCTCTTTGCCTAGGGAACGATTACACCCCAGTGTGTCTGTCATGCAAGCAAAGTTTAATTTGTGTTTCAATGGCAAATGCCTGAGGTACTTGCTCCTTCAGAGTCTGCTGAAAACAAAAGAGCTGGCCCCAATCCTAAACCTCAGGCCACCTCCTGGCAGTGATGAGACAGAATGATCCATCAGATGCAGACCTTTATTCACAGGACTGTCATCCCAACCTGGCAAATCATCCACACCACATGTATTTTGTGTTTCAATTAACCTTTATATTCCCCAGCAGGAAGATGCCACCGGATTACCTGCATACGTATCAGGTACGTAGTCTTTGACCTCTATGTACACAAAGAGAGCTGGCAGTGTCAAAGGCTGGTTCCTCTCATTCCTCAAACAGATGTAGTGATAGCCTGCAAAATAAAGAGACAGCCAGTTCAGAGCATAAACCCTTCCACAGGCGTTTCCAGTGTAACTGTGTTATCATTTGTTGTTTACAGTGTGGCTCCAACTGAGCAATCAACTCCAGGGACTTCTGGAAGGGGAAGATTTACCTGATGGGTTTCAGGGAGAAGTGTACAGACACAGAACTCTTGGAAAGGCACATCATACTGCCTTTTAAAAAAGTATTTTCCCTTTATTATTACCTATGTGAATAATGCTGAAAATTGTAATTTTTTTAATTTTTTTTAATGCATTCTCTTTTATTACCTTTGTCTGGATGTTTTTCAGTTTCATAGCTCTTTCTCACTTTTCAAGAGTCTTCCATCAATTTAGCTCCCTAAAATGCCTCACTGTACACTCAGACACATGAATGCCAGTTTAAAGACAGTGATGGAAGTGCACAGGTAGGAATGGGAGAAAAGGAATTCCAGCCCCATCAAACTCACACAGCATTTCAGTGCTGCAAAACTGCACCCTCTGCCTCACAAATTGGTGTCTCTTCCACCGTGCCAGAGGCTGCTCTGCTAAGGCAGGGTCAGGATACAAGCCATAAGCAGGATGCATTTATGTGGGGGAATCCTCACTTGGCTGATGGGAACAACTCCCTCTCCAGGTAACAGTTGAACCCTTGCTTTGGGAACAGTGGTAACCCTGTGGATCTGCGTGACAGTATCACAGAGCTTCCAACAGCATCTCAGAAAAGGGAGGAATTACACATTACAAAGGGTTCTCAGTTCTCTCAACCTCCTCCAGCAATTTCAGCATTTACATAAACTAACCCCAACATGCTGCTCTCCATCACATGGTGTAAACTAATGCCTACTCGAGCCAAAAGGGCAGAAAATAGGCCTGTGGGTAACAGCTCTCAGAAAGTCCTTGCAGGATTTAACGCAGGGGTCGTTGTTCTAAGGAGCACAAGCTCCTTAAAGCAGGTACAGGATTCGGTGATCTGATGAAAGGACTCTGTGCTGTGTGCAGGGCAAAGGCCAGGAGAGGGGACCCGTGGCCAGAGCTCACTTTTATCACAAGGGGGAAATCCCTCCCATCCCCCTTTTCCTCCCCAATGACCCATCTTGCTCTGGAGCTGGGCAGATCCTCCGAGAGGCAGGTACAGCCACTGAGCCAGCAGCTGGTGTAAAAGAGCTTTCTGCTGGATTGATAAACTGAGCTGGCTCCTGAAAAAGGTGTGGAGGTAATTCTTCTGGAATAACATCAACTGTTAGACGTGGGGACAGGTGAGTTTTGTGCTACTGCTGGGATTGACTAGATAAGATACAGGGCAGATAGAGATACTGCTCCTTTTCCAGTGTGAGTGAAGCTGGGAGCATGTTTATGGCCCATATGCTTGCCCTAATTTAGTTTCCTCCCCTCACTGGAAAAGCTGGCACCGAATTTGAACACTCCTCTCGCTCAAACTGCCAAAGTCACTGCATCCTTCTGAAACAGGATCTCTAACAAGGCTCTGGCCTGGAAAATAAGGGCTGAGCTGTCGCACAAGACAATTCCCATTTAAGTGGCCACTAATTATAACAGAAATAATAATCACTTAGAAGAGACCACTAACGATATTTTTATTTTAATTTTCAGCAATGAAGATGAAAGTAATTTTAGGTTGATCTGAAGGTGTTACAGAGATACAACAGCTTGCATATAGGTCGGTCTTTGCATGAGTGTGGGAATTATGTGAGAGGAGCATATTTTGCTTTAATTCCCGGCCATCTCCTGCTCTCACAAGGATGGCATCAGTTGGCTGTTGCTGCCCTCTTGCCTCTTCAAAGTGCACATTTGCACTGTTTGGGATAAACCTGTCAGCATGAAGTTGATGTACTGGAGACAAGTAAGTACCAACCACGCCCTTGATGATTTAATTCTATTGGTTTTCCTGGATTTAAATTTCTGCTGAAATATGGTAATTTTCTTTTTCAAAGCTGAGATAGATTACTCAAATAATAAGTCTGATTTATTTACAAGTCTGATTTATAGCAGAAATTATATCTTCACTCCACAACGCCTGCCTCAGTGGAGAAACAGGCTTACCTGGTCGAATTGCTGAGACTGGTAATATCCGATGGCCAATAAACTTCCCTCCTTCTTCATACACTGCCAGCCTCAAACAGGCCAGGGAAGGCAAAACCACCTACACAAGAATCAGAAAAAGGTTACTAAACCACCCTACTAGGCTAGGGATCTTTACTACTACTTGAAAAATTGTGTAGCATAATCCACCCTGTTCCCTTACTTAATGCAAATCTACATAGAAATACACATATTTTAAAATTGGCCATAAATATGCCTTTGTTTTTTTCAGCATATATGCCATTGAAAGGAAGAAAAAAAAAAGGCAACAATCAGAGCTTCTCCAATTTATTTGCAACATTACTAAAAATAGTAGCCTATGCCTCCCTGAGCACAGAGGCAGTCAGGCACGATCGTTAACTAAATAGAGAAACCAAGTACACTAATTAGAAGTTCATTACAGTAGAAAAATGCTAGTGATGTTTCCAAACTTGAGCTCTGGCAGGCTGCCAAAGGAAAGTCATTCAGAGGGCCAAATATTCAGGGAAAGGAGCCCTACTCCTAAGAAAGCAGTGCTGCAAGTACCCTCTACATAAACATCTCTGTGAACTGCATTTGCTGGGGGAAATCTGAAATAAATTGTTTTACACACACCTGGACTCAGGGGATATATAGAGATATATATACACACTTAACAGGGTGCTCGATAAGCAAAACCCAGAGATTCTGTTCAAATTTTGGCTTCAAGTGGATTGCAGAGCACAGTAAGACATTCACCTTGCACAGTCCTAAAACACGCTCAGTATTTTCTAAGCTCCTTTAAAGTTTAGAGAATTCTGCTGCTTCTAGCCGTGCCAGGGAAACAACCAAGGTGACCTCAGACTCACTCATTTCAGCAGGAGCTGGCACAACCTCAGCAGCCAAAGTTCAGCAAAAGCGGTTAACGGCAAACAGTTCAAGAAGTAACTATTCAGAATCTCTAACAAGATTCTGAATTCTCTAATCAGAATTTCTAACAAGTGTAAAGTTTCAGTAAGCCATGGAAATGCCCCACTGGCCAGAGACAAAAAAAGCACCGTGCCCTTGTGGGAAGCAAGTGTTACACACCGACCTTCTTAAACACTATGGCCTCCTCCTCCCAGACGGGATTGACTGCGTTGCCTTGAGACGTCTTGGTCTTCAAGGCTTTCCTTCTGGTGTCCACAGGCAGGCCAAACATGTCCACTTCTACATAGGTACCGACTTTTTTATCAGACAGGAACTGGCCTGAAATGATCTGAAGCCAAAACAAAGGAGGATGGTTAAGGGACCCCTTTGGTGGATTAGGAAATGAGTGGTTGATATGCAGATGGATAATTCTCATCAGTGGTCAGACAGTATGCATTCAAAAGAAAACCAAAACAAAGCTAAACCCACAACAAACAGGAAAAAACCAAACCCACTGTTTGATTGCAGACACAGAAAAACAACTTGTGAGGCCTGGTTTCCTGTGACCCTGTGGTCCTGAATTCCCCTGGGAGCTATAATGTGGTTGAGATCATGCTGCTGCCCTTCCCTCAGCAGGAATACTCATTTGGATCTCATCCCCAATCTGGCTGCCTACTCCCACAACACGGCATCTCTCAGAACTCCTAACTTCTATCCAATCTCAACAACAGGTTCGAAAAATGCTGGGGAAAACAAAAAAAATGGTATAAACAGCAGAGAAATTATAGTGAGGGAGAAAAAAAAAATCCAAAAGTTGATATTCTAAGAAAGGCCCTTCACAGACAGTGAGGAAAGAAGGGTCTGCAACTTCTTCAGGAAGCTGAGGAGGCACAGGAGAGTGTAGCAGCATCACTGTACCTTAACAAACTGAGGCTTGCCTAAAGCAAAGCTTAATCCATTCTCAGCTGCATCTTGTATGAGCATTGACATTATGAGCAGCAGAGCCTTCCCTGAGCAGGCAGGAGCAGCTGACATCTCTCCTGGATGCTCATTCCTGTTAAAAACTCTGTGCATCTCCTAATAGCCTTTGAATGACTTCCACCTCCATTTACGATAATTGCAGAGGAAAGTGCCTCTAAACCCCCAGGAGGGCACTGAAAGCTCCCCCGATTACAGGTCACCACAAAAGGTCATCCCACACATCCTCCTTTGTTACTGTGCATGTCATCAGGTTATTCCTTTATTCACATCCCTCCCAGCAGGGCCCTGCTCCTGTCTGCAGCCTGAGAGGGGATGCTCGTTTGCTCCCAGTGAAAACAGGAGGGTATTTTGCAGGTGGATTCCATAACACAGACACTGCTCTAATGGACAAGTCCATTAAAGGAGTGGCAGGGCTTCAGGAAGCTGATGGTTTTATAGCTGAGAGATAGACAGAGCGTCAATTTGTCATCCTGTCATAGCCAACTCAATCTCTCCCTCTAAATATTCATGTGAGTAGTTCTCAGTTTGCAGGCTCCTGGCAGTCCTTGAACTTCATTAGAGGTCCTTCAAACGAAAAGCAAGCTGGCAATGAATCGCAGCTGACATTTATGGTTCCATAGTTCTCTGCTGGAGAACTGTCAGAGAACCACCAAAATTTATTTACACTAAACAGAGCGGTGCTAGAGCTGTTCCAGTCCAACCTCCCACTTCACAACAGCCTGTTTTAAATCCAGCCCTTTGTTACCAAACCCACAGCCCAACTGCTCTTAAACCCATTCCCTTCCCAATTCTGTGATGCTTTGTAATTACTTCTGTGGAAAAGAACGACACACAATAAAAATGCATTTATTTACCCTACAGCACGAAATGTGAGGCAGAATTTAAAAACTAAATGTCACTCCGTGAAATTAAGTGTATTTTATTTTCTTGACTCAGTATAGCCATTTGCTAGGTCACTGCACAACAGAAATACAAATATATCTGTGCTCTAATATTCCCATGGGAGTATTTCCCCCAGCTTTGTACATACCTTGACAGACAAGGTGTTGGCTACTATTCCATCCACTATACCTTCAGTAAATGGATCAAAGTGCTTGTCTGGTCTTCTCATGAACTCTGGCTTTAACCTGTACCCACTTTTGCCATTGTACTCATACATTCCCATGTTTATTTGCATAGACAAATCTAGGTGTTAAAAATATTGATAAGAATTAAGTACTGGATAGATAATTATTTTTTAAAAAAGCAGTAAAATAACAACAATTACTGTAATTTCATACTGACTGTAACAGAAATGGTAAAAAGCTGTGGTAAAAATGTTAATTAGCAGCTCTATAGTATAATTCAATCAAAGCCTTTCCTACCCACGAATCAGAAACTGTATCAAAGAACTGGACACGTACAGGTTTCAGAATGCAGAGAACAGCACAACTTACCTACAGTTTGGAAGTTAAGAGCAACCATTTGGCAGCCAGCGTTCCAAAAGACCTGTGGCATGTAGTTGGAAGAATCCACACGTGTCCCCTTCGGGTAAATTCGGCTCAGCTGCATTTTGTTGTATCTAAATGGTCAGCAGTTAAAGATACAGAACAGGTGGCAAAAATCCCTCTGCAGAGAGGTGCAACTGAAGTGGTGAATGCAGGTGTCCTTTGCATTGAATGGTAGTGGGTCCCTTCCTGGATCTCTGCAGCCACAATGCTTCCAGAGGGCCACCCGTATAAAGGATCACGTTCATAATATGCCATTCAAAAAAAGTCCATAAAAGTCATTATGGTTTCTAATTTAGGATTTTCCTAAGATTACATTTATAGAGGTCAGTTAGCTGCAAACAGGCAATCTTCCTCTGAAGCAGGGAGAGATGTTCAGTTAGAAAGTGGTTTTCCAGAATGAGCATTGGAATTGGCCAATACCGAGAGAAAGGATGAGAGTACAAGCTGTATAAATCTCTGAGATGAGAACGAGCTGCAGGTTATCTGTGGGAGTAGCTTCCCATTAAACTTATTTGAGGCGCTATTTTATCTTGATCATTCATTCTAAACTGCAGCCACGGTGAGAGATACTGAGAAACACCAGAAGGTCTAAGCAGAATGTTCCTTAGCTTTTCTTTAGAAGTCATAAAAAAAACCTCCAGACTATGTGGCAATAAACCAAATTCTCCAAATGTGGCTGACTTCTTTTTTGGACAATTTGCTCACCATAACTTGTATCCCTTCACACAGGATGATAAATTTAACAGTGACAATACAAAGAATCAGGTCTTCAATATGTAGTTTATGCCTATTCCCTCTAGTCCTAGCCCACAGCACAAGGACTCATGACAATTTTTAAATTAGCTCATCAGAACTCAGGCCAATTAATTCATTTAGAAAAGACAGTCAAATCTACAAATTTCATTTATGCTCCCTATTTCCCCAGCTCCTGTCTCCAAATTTCAATAGAGCTCTGTAACAGATCTCAGACACAGAGAGATTTAAAAAGTAGCTTTCTGAAAGTCAAGGATACTCCACGAATTCCACAGGAGACTTGGTCAGTTGCTCAAGCCCTTTGGTTTCCACAAAGGAAGACATTTCAAAACTTTTGTTGCGCTCTAGAAGTTCAAAAGGGAGATAAAATAAAACCAGGGACACGTTAGAGCAGGAAATGTGTGCGATACAAGAGCTGTGAACAACTGGTTTAGGCTCAGTCCCCTCATCCCATCTACAGCTCACCAACCCTTTTCACCTTGACCCCAGCAGATTTACAGACAGGATGGTTTGTGCCAGCAGGAACCTCTCCCTGCCCGTCAGAGCTCCACCTGCACTCCCAGCAGCACTGCCCAAACAAAGGGCAGTGGTTGTACCCCAGACTGGTGCTGTAGCAGCTGCAGACAACACTCAGCGCACACCCAGGGATCCCTGTTCGCGAAATCCGCGCTGCTGTATCCGAGAGGCAGAGCCCCGAGCTCACATCTGCGACACACAGGGGTCGTGGCAGCTTTCCGTGGGGCCCTGCTGGATGTCTGGCTTGTCTCTGCAGGCAGATGCAAGGGCTGTGAGCCAAGGTGAGGCTGCAATGACCCCTATCCGTGTGAGGCTGAAGTGAGCTGTGCCCACAGCGCCTCTGGGCAGCTCGGCGTGTCAGGGGAAGGGCACGGCTGTCCAAGAGCCGCGGAAACGCTGCCATCCAACCAGCCCTGAGGTGCACTCCTGGGGCCCAGCAGGCCTTCAGACTGACCCCCCCCAGCTTCACGTGAAACTTGTATGGCCTTTTTAATTTGGTCAGGCTTTCTGATCTGACAGTGGTGAAAAGCTCCTCCCGAGCATTTAAGTCAGTAAGATTAACTACTAATTTGTGTATCTTTTGTTACTCACCTTTGGCTGGTGTGGGCACAGCCTTTCAGTGCACCCAAGCATCACGTGAGGCAGAGAGCCTAAGTCAAGGCCCTTCTAAGCTTTTTTCCTTTACCCCTTTGTACAGAAGGCAAGGATTCCTGTAAATCAACAGCTTTCCACTTCATCCCAGTCAGCTGTGCAGGTTGCCTAAAAGAGGCCACAGCACTGGGGGTCACATCCATTAGTTATCTCAGCACTGATTCTTTAAAAATGAGGGAATCAGTGCCTGTGTTGAAGTAAGATCTCTGTAGCCCCACCACTTCACTGAAAGCAGACAACAGGGCAGAGAAAGCTGGCCTCATCCAGTTTTAGAAGGAATTGTGCTGCAGCAAGCCAGGGATGATGGCCAGGAGGCCAGCCTGGCCAGCTCCTTGGAGTCAAACTGCGAAGCTGCAGGAGAGGGAGAAAACCCAACAAAAGCACTTGTCTTGCAGAGAGAAGCAGGACAGAAACAGGTGGGCACTTTCCTCATAGGAAGCCAAAAAGGAAGCAGTGGATCCAAAGAAGTGAAGAACTGAACAGTTTGGGCCAACGTGAGAGGAAAATGTGCTGCCAGCCCGTGAACTACAAACCATTCACAGTGCATGCTGGAGCCAGAGCATGAACATGGCGTTCCAAAAGTGATTCTCTCCCTCCAAGAGAGCTGAGACCGGGACTTTATTGTGGTCCCTATTTCTAATTAGCAGCCCTCATGCTACTGCTTTATTCACAGCTGTTATCCTCTAATGGTGAAAGATTCCTGGGGTTCCCCAGAGGCTGCTCTCCTACCACTCCCTCTTCCTTTCCAACAACAATATCCTCTCTTTCTCCAGGCTGTTCCAGCCAGCTCGCTTCCATCTCAGCTCCTCATAAAAACACTGAGATTATTCTTATTCCAGCTTTCCCCTTACTGATGGGACAGCACTAACCATACACATACACTGGATTTATTCTATTTCGAATAGAGGGGTTGAATTTGCTGTAGTAATAAACTCTTAGCTCTCAGCCTTATCCTAAAGTATGAAGGAAATATATGTAGGAAACCAGAACTAGTATCTGTTAAAGGATTCAGTTACAAACTGTCCAGGGCTTGATCAAACTCCTAATTCAAATAAGAACAATTATTTCCTTGTAGTATCTGGAGAAGACTAAGGAACCTGCTCTTTGCAGAAAAGACTGTGCAGGAGAGGCATTTCTCTCTCTTGATAGATGCTTATACCATGCTATCTTGTCAGGAGGAAGTCACTACAGATTGAACAGAAAACTCATTGAAAAACTGTCTGAAAAACATGGAAAAACACAATCACAGCTACTTGCTGTCAGAGAGAGGGGACATTTCTAATGAGGGCAATCAGGGGACTGGTACAGATCCACAGCTATTCAATATTTCTGTTAACAAGTTGGATGCAAGACCAGAAAATGCACTTTTAAAATGTGGGAATGACAGAAGCAGTGAGGTGCTGTGGAGGCCAGGATAACAAACTAAAACTAATTCTGAATTAGAAAAGATTAAATTAGAAACATGCTGTAACAATGAAACCATATAAAAGATCAGTACAGATCTCTACAGTTCTGGATTTCGTACACTTGAAGTCAAGTAAACAAAAGTAAAATTTCTGGGAAACAGCTGGATAGGCAGCAAACTAAAAACCAGTCCTAATCTAATTCCTGTTTTATTCAGGTGATCCTCACTGAATTTAATGAAGATCCAGCAGTTAGTCCAGGCCAGGACTAAGACCAGGACCCACAAGTCATGCTTTAACCAGCCAGCATTTACCACCTGAGGCCTCTGCTTTAATGAACAGGTCACTTGTTCCACATAATGATTTCTTCTGACATAAACACCAGAAATTTAACTCCTTAATATTATGAGTTTACAGACACAGTATGATCGATCAAAGGTCACACCAAGACTTAGGATAAACATCTGGACAGCACCAGTCCCCTACAAAACACAAAATTTGGAAAGGCACAGGCATGTGAGCAGAGAAAAAAACAAGGCAATTTTATAGCAGCTGCATCAACTTGTCCTGCTAGGATTCACATGGCTTCCTTTCCAGAAGGCACATCTCCTTCCCACTGTGTTCTTGTAATTCTCATTAGAGCTAAAGGAGATTACAAACATCCAAAGGGACACTACTCGAGGGAACGAGCCCAGCTCCCTGCATGGTTCTGTGACTGCCTGTGTGCGTGTGTCTGTATAAATACCCACATACAAATGAGCAGTTGGTAACTTCTTATGTGTTTATTATTCACCACAAGTAAATGCAGAATCTTGTACAGAGACATGGACTGAGGCAACAATTACCTGTCCTCTGCCAAGGCCACCACGGATCTGGAATAAATTAAAGTGCTATACACTTCTTAAACTAAAAAGAGCCAAAAGCACATAAAAACCTGTCAAAACAAAGTGAAAAAGGGCAGGCAAACAGCAGGGGGTGGTGCACCAAGAAAGGAAAAGATGCTGCAGTGTTTACTGAGGATGCCACTGAGTGAATGCCTAGCAAGGCATCTTCTGTAAAAGTCAGCAGGGGATGAAATTATGGCCTTTCTATACAACACACTGAGGCAGGAAAGAGTGAATTTGCATTTGGGGAAGGGCACACTCTGCTTCCTCTGAATCTTCTGCAAAAGCAGCAGAGGCAAAATAGAAGCAGGAATATTTATGACCACCTCTCTCCAGCTGCTTGAGTTACTCTTCAGTCACGGGCAACAAAGGCAATGTAAGCACATAATTGTCAAAAATGGTTTCGAAATGCCAGCCTGTTTACTGGTGATGAAGTTGGGTATTTCGACCAAAAGGAGGTTCCAAAATAAAAATGGATTTATTTGGCCGGATACCAAGGGAGCACTCTCTGTCTGTGTGTCTGGATCTAACTGAGAGGAGGCCAAGCAGCGTTTCTCCAGAACTTTCTGCCAAACACTCGCTAGGGAATCTCCAGTGTGAGGTGCTGCTCACGCTTAGCTTACTTACTTTTTGATACTTCAAACGACTCAAACTTCACGGGTTGAATGTAGTTCACCAGGTTAGACATCTCCTCCGTGGCCATGGCCTCGCTGCCAGCAGTACCCTGGGGCAGAGAAGGGGAAAAAAAAAAAAGGCTGCAGCTTGGAGCTGTCCATCGGGGGCCACGAACATCACAGCCCAGTTCTCTGTCAGTTGTGGTATCTGACCCTGACCCTGGCTCGGTGAAGGCAATGCTTTACGTAGGGAGCATCACGTAATAAAGCAGAAAATTGGCCATAAAATGTAAATTTGACATTAAAATGCTGCTGTATTCATTCTTTTTGTGTGACTCCTAGGGAAGGGACTGCACTAGCTTTACACAGGCACAGTACTGAGCATACTTATAAAGTACTGCTGGATAAATAACAAATACAGTTCTAAGCTTTGGATATCAACTTTTTCCTCTAACAATGCTCAACGCACCACAAGCAGCCGTGGTGCTATTCGTTCCTTATCTTCAGAAAATTAAAGTACAAACAAACAAAGCAAAGACTGTGCTTCCAAACCCAGATCAACAACCAGCTCGGGAAAGCCGGTGCTGTGCTTCCCGGTGCTCTGCCTCCCTCTCTCCACTGGACGGCAGCCCCACTCCTGGTAACACGCTCCAACCCTCCCCACCACGCACATCCACACCCTTACTTCATCCATCGACGACTTCTTACAGTCATCGTCATAGTCGTCATCATCGTCGCTCTCCATGTCTGCTTCTCCTGGAAAGTTTCAAGCAGAAGATAATTACTGGCTGAAGCAACAGTTGCAATTACCAGCGACAAATTCAACAAAGATGTGCAAGTAGCAGTGCTTGAGGGAGAGTGAGTCGCACATGTGCTTTTTGTCACAGCACAAATCAAACACACCGGTCTCGAGGGATTCATGATTCATCCCTCTTCGGCACTGATTTAAGTTCTTATTGCCCAACCGAGCTAAAACTCTTCCTCTGCAGCTGTCTGAAGCTTTGGAAATCAGCACTGACAAAAGAGTGCAGTGTGTGGATCCAGCGTCACAAAGTGCTCTGGAGAGATGTTCCCATGTTTGGGGCTGATGTGAGTTCAAACTCCTGCTGTTGCAGGATCCGTGCAGGACCTCCCGTGGATGCCTCACCCACTCCGAGGAGTTCACACGCAACACCACGGTCGGGGTGAGGAAACCCCACAGGAAAACTGATGAGATTCTCATGTGCTGTGCTATCAAGGGGGCTGCTCAGCAAAATCCATCTGCTCTGAACGTATCCCAGTCCGTGCAGTGAGGCAGCGCAGCTGGGAGGGGCTGGCACAGGAGCCAAACTGCAGCGAGTGGGCTCCGATTCCCCTGGCTGATCACTCTGCTGTTCCTCCGTTAGGGCTCCGCTGGCACAGCTCAGCTGCACCGGCTGAGGGCAGTGTGAGCCAAAAAATGGGAACAACCACGCGAAAGGCTCATCCTTTCCCCGAAATTGTAAAGGGGACCAGATAGAACACATTTACTGCCTTGCTCCCAATTGCGGCGCCCTCATCAAAATCCTCCGGGCAAGACACAAATTCTTTAATGTTAATTAACGGCTGCCTCCCCTCGCCTCCAAAATGTTTTGATTTGGTTGCATCAGAAATTAAACCATTAAGGAACATCAAGCTTATCTTTCTCTTTAGAAACTCCCCCTGAGGGCCTGGCTGTCATAAAGTGTACATTGTGCATCTGGAGAAGACTCTGGAAAAGAAGAATTTAACTTACACTGCAGTCACCAATCCACACCTATAAGACTGACAACTCTCCCTAAAGATTTTATTCCACAAACCTTTCAGCTTGTTTCAGCAGTGGCAGCAAAAAAAAAATCTGACTACTGTGCAGCATTCCCAAACTCTCCAGAGAATGGTAATTCGGCCTCAGTTCCTCCTGTCAATTTAGGGTCTAATCCAAAGCCCACTGAGTCAATAAACTGCTCTTTGTTCCAGCAGGCCTTGAATCATGCCCAGTGGGACCCTTCTGAACATGGAGAGCACATGAGTGTGCCTTTCACAACCAAATGATGACTACTCAGGCTGCATTTCCTTCCAGATGCAGATGTTGAAATGTCAGGCTTTTATTCATCAACACATTTCTTCCCGAACGTGTCCATTGAAGAAAATAACACGATTGCTCAACAGGCTCCAGGGATGGCTCCGGGAACCTCAGCACAGCGCACAGAGCCAGCCCAGCTCTCCCAGGGTTTGCAGTGACACTCTTTGGATGGGAAGCTTTCAAATGATTTAACCAGACTGGCGAAATAACGCTTTGCACAGCCCACAAAATGGGGAACGTGGGTAGATTCCAGCCAGCTTGCAGTGCTGAGATACCAGGTACACAACATTAGCCTGTTCTTGCTGGAAGTGTCCAGGGGGGAAAGTATGCAACACATTACTGGTTTATTTGAAAACACTTAACAGGGACACTCCCAAGGAGATCAGAACTCATTTTCAAGTTCTGCATCAGACAGCAAGACCAGGACAGGATTGCAAACACAGAATAAAAATGAGTGGCTTAGAAAGTGTGACTACATCTGCATTGCCTTTCACCCAGTAGCAGGGCCCTGTGCTCACACCCAGCCCTCCCTGCCACACTGCAGGGACACAAAGCCAGAGCAAGCCTTGGCCAGGCTGAGGAGATACAGACACCTTTGTGCTCACTGATCCCACTGCGGTGGCAGGATCAGCTCCCTGCCATCCCTGCCACCCCTTCCCAGGAGGGCACAGACACTGAGCACAGGCCAAGTCCAGCATGCATGTGTGAGCTTAAGGGACAACCAGCTGTGATGGCCTCATCACAACTTGCATTCAGATGGGGCTACAAACCCAGGTCAGGACAGGACCTCTCCATGCCACGTGATGAGATACAGTGAGAATGGAGAGCCCTGCTCCAAGGGCTTGCCCGGCAAATATGAGGCAAAAGCCTGCCCGTGGACAGAGGCAGACAGAAGAATTCCAAGGAATTAAAGGACGCTGCTCCCCAACACAACAGGGAAGTTGCAACACAGAAACTGCCAACTGCTCGTAGGCAGAAGGGCACAGGAAACTCCTCAGTGGGGCAGTTTCAAGGATGTTTTCCAGGAGCTGTCCCTAGTGAGTGGGGCAGTGTGGGGAAGGCATAGAAGTGCTCCTTGGGCAATGTAATGAGTGGACAAAGGAGGATGAACCCCAGCAGAGGGGTAGAGAGGTTCCACGCAGTAATACTGAATGGAGGATGAGTAGGAGAGGTGGCAACAAATATCCTGTTTGCAGGGGTGAGGAGGAGTGTGCTAAACATTATCCATCCTCACCACTCCTCAACAGCACAGTAGATACTGAGAGCCTCATAAAACAAAAGGTTAGGCAGGGCTTGAGATACAGATGGATCTGGCAATCTGCTTTCTCAAACCCCTTCAAAGTAACAGCCAGCATGGATTATGAAAGTGGTACTTGCTGTGCAGCTTGTTAGCTCTGTAACATTTAGGCAGCCACCAGCACCTTGGTGGGGAATCACCTTTTTTTTCCACTGTATATTAGCGCTTGCTGATTTTTAAAAAGGAAAAAAATAAACTTTATTCAGTTGGCTAATGGTAATTTGCTTTGTAACAACAGGCCACGGCCTCAGCTGGCAAGGAGCAGCAATGTACTAATGCATTTACACACACCCAGCCTAAACCCTTTCATCCAGTTTTCTATTTAAGCATCAGGAAATCACGGAGCCAACTCTACCCCCTCTCTCTGTCTTCCCGTGATTCTTCCCTTGCAGCACCCACTACTCTGACAAAAACCATCATCCTATCAGCGAGAAACTCACAACCTGCTTGGAAATTTAAAGAGAGTTCAATTAGCAAGTCTTAGCTACTTTCAGCATGGGCCTCCTTTGGGTGAAACGTATGACCCTGCAGAACTGCCACTGCTCTTTCTGCACTGCAGCAGAACTTGGGAAATTGTATTTACTTCTGCTCATTGTGCAAAACCAGCCAGGTCTAAGCTGCTTGTTTGCCAAGACTAAGAACTCTTTCACAGGTGTTATCTCAGAAATTAGTCCTTCTGCTTTGTCAGCTTTGCTGCACTTTTAGGAAAAGTTTTCTCCACTGACAGACAGGCCCTACTGAAGTCACCTTTTACAGCAGGTTCATGAGCATCCTGCAAGGCACTGCACAAGGCTCATTTCAGAATTCTTTAATTATCGCTACTGTATCGCTTTTATATGGTGTGTCTCACAAACAAATCAAAAGCCTGGTTCACTTGGGTTTCAATCTGACCTCAAGCAGTGTAAGATGCTGTCAGCTGAACTAACAATCTCCATATTTTTTGCACTGCTGCGAAAAAACTCATTTGGAATCTCAAGAAGACTGAATCAGCACAACTTCCTCCTGGAGATCAGCAGCAGCTCTGACAGGAGCTACACAGTCCAACAGAGTTACTTGAATAACATGCCCAACTTGCCAAATGTAAAGATTACATCAAGGTTGGAGCGGTGAAACAAAGGAATGAGGCAGCGAGAAGAAGGGTGTCTTGGTGACTGTTGAGCTCTGCTTCTCACTGGGTCTTGCCACATGGGTCTCATTAAATGGTGATTTTTTTTTTCCTTAAATGTTCTGATTTCCAGAAACACTGCATTCTCACAGCTCTAAGCTGCAGCTGAAACCTCCAGAGCTGTGCTCTGAATACTTGAAAATTTAAAGTGTTCTTGAAGAAATGAGATCCTGGGTGTTCCTTGTCAGTCATCCTTAAATTCTTCTTAAGCTTTGTCAGATTCCTCCGCCCTTAGATAAAGATTGGCTTAATTTTATTTCACTCCCCACAGGTGCTGTTCAGATAACTGCACTGCTGCTTGGCACGGATGCCCCCACAGAAATTCCCTGAGGATGCAGATCTGGGATCAAGTACTGAATACCAGAGGGAGAGAAAACACTGACTGACTGCATTGTCCCAGAGAGGCACCAGCCCTCAAGGAGCAACAGGGGCTGACACCAGGATTACAAGCGATGCATTCTGGCAGTCACGGCTGAACCAAGTGACCACACCAATCCTGCAGAATCAGTTCCAGCATTTGCTAATTTGTAAGTGTTCATCTGCATAATCAGAGGCTGTTACAGAGGTGACACAGGCATAATATCCACAGTTAATTTGTAAAATTACACACCCTGTTACGGGACTGACCCTCCTGCCTTGCAGCAGCATCAGCATCTTACATTCACAGCCCAGGCCCTCTCCTAGAAAAGCTTCCAGAGAGGCTCCTGAAGGACAAAGCTGTTGCCCTCTGTGCAAAACCAGGCCCTGAGAAAGCAAAAGCCATGTACTTTGCCACTGGTTCTCCCCATGTGCTGCTAACAAAAATGTAGAATTAGGAACCCAGAGCTGATTTCAAATGTTGGAACGTCATTTGGAACACAAGCTTATTTTCCTGCTGCCTGGGATTTGACTAAAGCAAATCAAGAAAATAGTGTGAAATCATCCCTGACACCAGGATGAATCTTCCTTTGAAATCCAGGCCCTTTTCACAGTTTCTTAAAAACAACAGCTGAAAACTCTTTCTTTGCTTCTAACAGGATAAACAGCGTTATCCACAAATGAAGCAGGATTTCTTTCTTTTTAATTCAGCTTGAGGCAAAACTGCCAGCATGAAAATTTTCAGCTCAATTAATCAAGAGTTTAGAAAAAATTACAAACAATGGGAAAAAAGTTTTTTAATGGCAAATGGTAATGAACTTACATTGCAGAAGAGCTTGCAGTGATTATTCTACTTCAGGGGCATAGATGCCTACGCCTTAAAGAATCCAAAATTTCAGCCTTGATAGGAGAAGAAATTCCAGCGTGCTGGAAACTCCTGGATCAATGACACTTAGTGTGGCTTCCTGCTGAGCAAGGCCCACACTCGTGTACCTGCACCGTCAACGGGCTGAGTTATAGCTGTAATTAATTAAGCATTTGTGTCTTAGGGAGATGTGTATTTGCAGATTCAACTCATACCTGCTCCGGGGGAGGAAGGTTCAAACATACTGGATGTATCACTGCACGTGTTGGAAGCCTGCTCCGACAGCTTCTTTTTCGCACTTCCATCTGCTGACTTATGTGACTTCTTCTTATTCTTCACCAGGATTTTGTACATTAAATCCATGGGGCTTGGAAGAGGAACCCCAGCTTCAAGCTTGCAGGGGAAAAAAAGAAGAGAGGTTTGTTAGAATTAAAAGAAACAAGCTTCTGACAGCTTCTTAGGGCCCACATGGCACAGGATGGTTTTGTAACCTCTTTGAGCCCCATTAAAACGAAATGGGCTTTGCACAAGACCTTAAATAAAACAGGGCTACTGAGGGCACTTAAGAAGAAAAATGCTTTATGAGATGTCTACAGTAATAACCCAAAATAAGTATTAGCTCAAATACGAAAGCCTGCATTATAAAATGAGGATCAATTGCATTTAGAAGATTACAATTCACTACAGCAGGACAACCTCTGCATAAAAAATGACGCTTAAGTCACTGACAGCTCACGTTGTTTTAACTCCCTCATTCAGACTCTGCTTTGAGAGGTTGTATGTGAAGAATGAGACAGGGCTGAAACGTTTCAATAAAAATTCACTCAGACATTTGGGATCTGACAAATCCCAAGCCACATTACCGGGTATTTTTCCAGCGGATCCATAAGCAATGCGTCTCCAAATATTAGTCTGCAGTACTCTGCCATTTTCGCCTGCTGTTTGGGGCTGAGGGGAAGAAAAGAAAGAAAGAAATGAGTTCCACTAATGCTACAGAGTGAAAGCAGCAGTAATGGAATATTTAATAGCCCTAAACTAGATATAATTTCCCACTGCAATTGCTGTGAGTTTTTTAGAGAGACCTAAATATATCATTCAATTACTTTGATTCCTCTGATAGAGTTTATCCAAAGGATCACACATGAGGTAGAGGCACTGGTCAACTGAATAACAGTGAAATAACTCTAACATGAATTTGCCTCTTTCGGGCAATGTTTTTATTCAAGGTTTAAATACTTTTCCCATTTCATTACTGTATCCACGTGCCTGGCATTCTTCTCAAATACCCCACAACCCCAATTGGATTTTGTCCTTTTGGTCAAACTCGACCTAAGGCATAAAACTCCAAACCAGTTACCCAGAAAAGAGTCTCCAGTGCAGGTGTCCTAAATTTCCCAGGCCAAGGGAACCCCTGCCCTCTCTCAGAGACCTCTGTGTCTCTATAGAGAATGTAAGAAGGGGCAGAAGAATTACTTGGGCTGGGTTTGTCCCAAAATCTAGTTTGGGCATGGGGTCAAATTCCTTTTATAAAATTTTTTAATTTGTCTAAAATCAGATACAGTGTCAAATTTCATCACCGCAAATTACTTCAGCAGTTTCCATGCCACCCTCTAGAAGTAAACTGTGTCTCAGTAAACTGCACCTCAGTAAACTCTACCTGTAGTGAATTTTCCCAAAAGGCAAGCAAAGGATGGAACAATTCCTGCATATCAGTGACAGAGGTTTTAGACTGAAGATGGGTCAGGCAGCTCAGAAATGTTACTCAAATCATCTGAAAATGCAGCTTGGTGCTTCAGTCACTTTCTAATTTTAGACACTGTGTATTTTTGTTCTGTGTGCCTGTTTAGAACCTGTAACATCTGAGCTTAGGTCTCCTCCAAAGAGTCCCTTTTTTGATACTCTGCTGGGAAGCCTCGCTGAAAGGACGGGATTATATCCCTCAATAGAACTTCCTCACCTACGGCTCATTATGGCAGACACAGGCATGGTGTAAGCTGTTGTGTTGCCATGGAGCTCTTTTTTTAGGGCAAAATAGAGCTGGGTATATATAGGAAAGACAGAAAAGGGCTGTTATTTCTGTTGCAAACCAGGAGTGGAACCATCAGCTTGTTGGTCATCAGTTCCCCAGGCCAGCGTGGCCAGAGCAGGGCTCAGATAAAGGCTGGCTGGCTTTTGGGGCAGAAATGCCACTTCCCTGGGATGGGCACTCTGGATGCCCCTGGAGGCAGAGATGGGGTGAACCAGCTGTCAGCTCAGTCACTGACCACATACACTGCGAGAGGGGCTTTCCACTGCCCCCCAAGGCCAGCTCAAACCCCGACAGGCACTCACTGAGGTGCCTTTGGCACGCAGGCTGTTCTGCGGGGAAAGAGAAAAGCCACTTGTGGCTGAGGATGGGAAATGAAGAGGAAGACAAGCGAGGCAGTGGAGCTGGGAACCCATAGAGGAGAGGGAGATGGGAAGAACAGATCAGGATAAGAGAATTGTGTTGGCTACTTGCAGCCAGCAGCTGCCAAGGGAGACAAAGGCACCTCACTCGGGCAAGCAGTGGGTATGGAGGAGAAAATCTGTGGGTCATTAGAAGGAATCTTATTCCAGTGTTCTCCACCAGCATGCATTTTGAATTTGCTCTTAGAGCCCAGACAGTTCAAAGCACATCCCCTTGAATCATCTGAGCACATTTATTGAAACCGTAGTAATTAGATGAGACACCATCATTTTTAATTGGGCACAACTCCAAAAAAAACCCTTTCTATAATAATCCGAAAAAAAAAAAAAAAAGGGGTAAGTTAAACCCAATAAATTTCCAGCTATCACCACAGCCAGAACAAATTCTTCTGCTCTCCTGTGTTTAATTACATGTTTACCTCAAAGAGAGCACAGCGAGAACTTTCATTTTTGCAAACGAGAAAAATGTAATGCAACACTATGTCGGTTCAGTGTATAAATTCCAATGTCACTGCATCCCAGAGGCAGAAAGAAGGAAAATTATGGGAAAAACTAATGGGTTCTAACGCTGTATAAAAAGCCTTGTGGTAGTAAATAAGGCCAAAGGAGGAAAATCTCGACACTGCAAAATTACTTGTCTTTGTGAACCGGACTATATGTGCAGATATTTTTATCAGCTCCTACAAGGAAATTAAAAAATATTTAGGAGTGCCAGCTTTTAACTGTGTGGTAGGTTTTTTTGTGTTCTCCCTAATACATAAATCCACGTATGTTTTGTTGCAAGAGAGTTCATTAGTCATAGTAGATTATGTATCACTATTACAGTGTTTTTAAAAGTTGGAATACCAGTCGCTTTTTATTTTCCCTTCTTTCAAAGCTATGAACCAGAGGAACGCATGAAACACCAACTTCTCTGCATCCACATGTTCCCCTGATTGTGTTAGGAATTAAAAAAAAACCCAGGTATTCCTTGGTCCACCTCTATTTTACTGGAAATTCTCTCAGCACTCACGTATTACAATGAGAGTTGATAGCCTGAAAAGAGCTGACTGTCTCTGCTTTCTGGTTTTTGCTGTGCAGACACGGACAGGCAGCACACACACTGATTATATGTGCCCCCCAAAAACGTGCCAGGGCAAGGGGAGATAAAGTGGGAACACAATACCTGGAGATATAGAAATAGAAAGGAGATGAAGGAATGTTTTCATTGCCATCCCTGCGTTGCTCATGCTTTATTTTACCGTGTTTACACTATGCCTGTTATGAAGGTCAATCACAGAGCTCTTCTGGCACAACTGCACAACCCCTGCTCCCAAACATTCCATCTTTATCACTCCTGCAGAAATACTTCCTCTGCCTAAGACAGGGGCACAGATGCTTCCCAGAAGAGTCTAAAATAATTCAAAGTGTAGGACGAAGAAGTGATAAAAAAAAAAAATCCTGTTAATATTTGAAATAACAATTCCAGCAAGAAACCGGCACTATGAATAACTGTAATTAAATTTAATCTTGGAAGCAATCTTCTATGGATACTGCTGAAGGATCACTTAACCTTTTTGCTATGTCATCAGTGCCTTTCTAATTATAGACTGTCTGCTTTCAGATTTGCAGATTGCTTATCTTCT